CCCCCCCCCCCCCCCCCCCCCCCCCCCCCTCCCCCTCTTTCGCTGTCGCTCACAGTTCGGCATGCCGGTTCTCTTGAGCACCGGAGACTTGGGCAACCGTATCGACATCCTGCAGGGCAACGGGGTCACGGAAGACCTGACGGTCGACCGTTCGGTGGTTTCCACAGCCATCATCGACAGCGAAGACTCCGTGGTGCTCCAGGTGAGTCAGTGCTGCTTGGCGAAGGCATGTTAGTTTGACTTTTTCCGTTCCGGATTTTGACATGAAAATATCAACCACAAAAGTATTGTAATGAATAGAGGGTTCCTTCTTTGCGCTTTCGACCAGTGATAATTTTTCTGGGAAGTAATAATGGCAGGCGGAGAAGCAGTTCGGGGTCTTGAAATTTGTCCAGATGCTCCAAAGCACGTGCTTCCACGAAAGGGAAAAGTAGCCGGTTCTGCGAAGTCAAGGCAGTTATGCGCGTAGACGCGTAGATCGTGGTCACGCCGCCGCCGCTGTTGTTCTGTCCCCCCGGGTTCTGACATGACCATACGAAAAACGCCGGGGAACCCAAGAGAGACCGAGAGGACACATACTTCTCTACAGGCATCAACCCCGCCCACGAGATACGCACTCGATGTCGGGTTACCGCAATGAGGGAATCAAGACACGAGCCTCGATCAAGAACACTACCTGTTTTAGTGTTGTTTTTGTTTGGAAACACGTACGTGAGGGAACCGTGGCAAGTGAACCTTCCGGTAGGAGAGACCTGCAGTTTAAAACCCTCTTTGTTGCCTCGCGTCGATATTTTTGTGTATCAGCTTATCCTACAGCAAGGTTTGGAATCCCGCGTGCGTGCGCCGTCGATGTCTTGCGCCTTGCCCCGATTGTGCTGACACCCTTCTCTTCTGCCCCCGCCCCCCTTCTTCCGAAACATCGGTACGCCCCCGCGCTTGGTTGATATTTGGCTACCCGGGCGATCGATCCATCGTGATCTGGCTGGGCGATGTTGTGTGGTGTACGGGTGTGCAGCTGTCCTTCCCCGTGTTCGTTATGGCCTTCATGTCGTTCGTCGGCTGGATCCTGTTCGTGTTCTTCGGGGGATTGGGTCTCGTGGGTATCCCGATCGACAGCATCAGGGTGAGGAGACAAGACACACACGGGGGATGTGATTTTTTCTGTTTCGAATGTTTTGATACAATCACGGAGGGACTCCGGGATCGAGACATTCCCAGAGGTCTGTCTGTTGTTGAAGGTGGTACTAGGCAAATCGTGCACGACGTCATGTCGTTTGTGTCGAGTACTCCGTGTTTCGGGGGGCGCGGCACGCACGGTGGGGCGGGAGTGTCTTCTTCGGGAAGAGAACAGAGGGGGCACCGTGATTGAACAGAGGAGGCAACGTGGTGGACTCGTTCCCCTGCTGCTGCTGCTGCTGCTGCTGCTGCTGCTGCTTTTATACTATTGGTTCGCGTTGAACGCCGTTCTCGCAAGCAAACCCGAATTCCGTAATAAACGCAATCCGTCGTGTTGATGTTGGTGTCTTTTGGCTGTGTATTGGACCGACCGGTGATTCCCGCCTTGTACAATGGCGCGTGGTGGTATTTGCCAGGCCCGCCGTTGGTTTGGTGTTGATCGTGCTTCCCGGCCGGTGGGCCTTGTTGTACACGCATGCCGTCACCACTGCTGCTGTCGCTGCTGTGATCCTTCTCTCTCTCTCTCCCTCTCTGTCTCTCTATATATATGTCTGCCTCCCTCTCTTACTCTCTCGCCTCTCTCTCCCGCCCCTTCTCTCTTTGTCCACACGACGTCTGGCCACTCGCGCTCTCTCTCTCTGGATGGCGGGCTGCGGCACAACCACAGTCGTTCACCACGCGGCCTCAGCGGCTGGACAGGGGCCAGGTGGCGGTGCTCGAGGGCGGCATCAAGCGGCGCTGCGACGACCTAGTCTCCGTCGGCGAGCAGCTGAAGGGGGTGCGCCAGGACACCCGCGAGGCGATCGAGGGCGGCCAGCTGCGCTTCTTCGAGAGGCGGCGAAGGAACAACAACGAGGCCAAGGAGTTTAACCAGTTCAAGCAGGCGAGAATAAGGGGGAGGGGGGGNGGGGGGGGGGGGGGGGGGGGGGGGGGGGGGGTCTACGGCATATGGCGGGGCCGGCGGCGCAATCGTTTTTGTTGTGGTCGCCTTGGTATATTCGCGGCTGCTGTACCGAACGTCCCTCCTTCCACCGACGACGGTTAGTCGGCGCTCTCTCTACAAACCCTTTTGTCTTATGGTCGTCGGATGAGTATTGGCAGCTCTCGGTTGTGTGCTGCTCAGTCGCAACGGGAGACAGGGCAAAGAGCACCCGACGGTACTCTACTACGCCCGGAGCAATAGGAGAAGCAACGCGAAGCGGTAGGGCACCAACTGGCGTTGGCTGAGGAGCGGCATCGCCGCAAGGCTCCCAACTATCCCCCTTCCCATCCCCCCTTCCTTTTTCTCCTTCCTTGCTTGCGGTTATCTTTGTCCCTTGATCCAATATAGAATTCGCCCGGGGCAGTGCATCGGCGTGCTTAACCTTTCCGTGTGGCCCACGGTAGACTCGAAAGCCATTGCGTACACCCTCAAACATTTGCCGACCGTCGCGCTCGTGGAAGTGTGCCAAAGTGGTTCTCATCGTTGCAGCATGTGCTAAGCAGTCCCCTGGCAAGTACGCATTCCATAGAGTGTTTCTTTTTTGTCAGCTGCACGTTAACATACACCCCCCTCCCTACGCCTTTGTCTTCTTGTCAGGCTGTCTACCTCCTGGAAGAAGACTACACCAACCTCGAGGTCTGCAAGGACTACTTCCGAAAGTGAGACAGCAGTCTGGCTTGCGTCTTTCGGGTTTATTTTGCAGGAGAGGGACGGGGGATTGTCCTCTGGTGTTGCGGTTTTTGCGTTTCGCGGTTTGACCTGAGGGTTTCTGAGACTGGGAGACGTCGTGAAGGGGGGGGTATGCTGCAAGCTATCGGGGTGTGCGGTACAAGCTTGTAGACTGCTGCCCTTTGAATCTCGGCAAAGCTGTGGACGCATGGATGCGTGTGTTGGTCGAGCATTGCGCAGCAGAAAGTTTCTCGGGTAAACGTGGTCACTGGTACATTGCGCAGGCTAGAACAGTGGTGCTGTAGCTTGGAGATGGTGGCAAACCGCATCACGAAATCGGCCTCATGGCCACGCGAAGACGTCGTGTTGCTTGGTACACCAGCTCTGTAAGATAAGATCGATTTCCTCTCCGCCCCTGGTTCATACTGGTGAAACGTAGCCTGGGCCGGCGAAAACCCGGCCTATCACTCCGTCCCGGCATGCGGGGTCAAATGACTGAGGCATGCCCCCCCCCCCCCCCCCCCCCCCCCCCCCCCCCCCCCCCCCCCCCCCNCCTGGCCAGGTTCAACCCGGTGAAGCCGTTCGCGTGGCTCCTGTTCGGCATCCTTGCCTCAATCATCGCGTTGGTGTGGATCATCCACATGGTAATCTTCATGATCATCCAGCCGTCCATCACGCCCTTCCTGAACGACTACTTCCTTTGGTTCGATAAGTGGTTCCCGCTGTTCGGGGTGCTCTCCGTGGCTATCTTCTCCTTCTACCTGCTGGCGGCGTGCGTGAAGGGCTGCTTCAAGTTCGGGCTCCGGCTGGTCTGGTTCACCCTGCACCCCATGAAGCCGAATGGGACGTACATGAACTCGTTCCTCTTCAATTGCGGGTGAGAGAGAGAGCGAGAGAGAGGCCGACGAACAGAGGCAGGAAGATAGACAGAGAGACAGGCCTACAAAGAGGCAGACACACAGAAAGGCAGAGAGTGAGAGAGAGAGAGAGAGAGAGAGAGAGAGAGAGAGAGAGAGAGAGAGAG